CAAATTTTATTTTAAGAAAACTTCAAGAAAAACTTTTTAAAATAATCTAATCTTTGAAACCAAAAATGAGTTCAGTGTAGAGGAGGTATTAGCACTCTACGACGTCCGTTTAAAAACAATTACCTTAAATGAATTGTACAAATTCATTTTAATTTTGAAAAATATTTATTTAACCCCTAAATATTAATTATTTTCATATTAGAACAAGGAAAAAAAATTATTTATTGAAATGTTAACTCAGTATCTTAAAAGAAAAAAAAAATTATTGTGACTTGATAGGTACGGTCTCTGCTCCTACATATCCCTACGTGTAATAAGTAACTTAAAGTCACGTAGTTCTATCTAAAAATTACAAAGTTGGTTGATTAAGTTTAGTCAAAGAAAATTTACTTTAAAATTAAAATTATTTTCATAAAATTATAATGTTTAGGATAGAAGATAACGCAGTTATACATGCATCGTAGGATAAACAATGTAGGAGGTAAAAGGAGATCACATAACCATACTACAAATTGTTTAAAATGATTTATTAATTTTAAAAAATATTTTTATTTGTAAATAAAATGTTTGAATTTATATTTAACTTATAATTAATGTTAAAAGAGAATTTAAGATGACGTAAGCTATACATAAATCTCTTATAATTTTTGGACAATCGAAGACAATGTAAATCACACATCGATGTTGCAAAAATTTGTATAATACAATAAAATGAATAAATAATTGGTTATTCAATTTATTAAAATTTGAAATATGACTTGTGAAAAATTAAAATATGAAATTAATGAATTTAATGAAAAGAATAAATATATTTTAATAAAATTTATTATTATTTAATAAAAGGATTAAACTTCTTTGGATAGATTTATTACATAGAACCTAAGGTAACGTTAGTACACAAAGGTTATATCAATCTAAATTGTATAAAGGTAGAGAGGCTACACAATAATACTATAAAATGCTGCAATAATATAATGAAAATATTCTAGATGATAGATTTAATAATAGTAAAAATAATAATAATCAATTAATTTTAGAAATTATATTTAATTTATATATGTATTGATTGTATATAAAACCTAAGGTAACATTGATACATATAAATTTTATCAATTTATAATACATGACGATAGAGAAGCTATACGTTAGTATTATAAATTGATGCAAATGTTACACTCTTTATTTGTTTAAAAATATAATTTGTTAATCATGAAATAAAAGATCAAAACATGAATATAAAATTTAATTACATCAATCCTTCTAAAAATTAATACAATAAAGTAAAGGATAATACCAAAGACAAATAACTCACACATACATAAATATGCTGAATATAAACAATAACACAATAATTATTATGTGAATTTTTGTTTTCATATTATTTATTTTGACATAAATTATTTATTTATTTACCTATTTTTTAAATTTAGTTGGTTAAACCTGATTTTTTAAAATAGTAATAATAACTATGAAAATAAATAAAATAAAGATAAGAAAAGTTCCAAACTAAATCAACACTAATCTCAGTTTAAATTTTTCTCTTTCAGAGTCTCATTGCATCTGGTTACACAACAAGATAAAAAATAAAAATAAAAATAAAAATAATAACAATAAAAAAATGAAAAGAAAAAAAATTATAATTCAATCGCATTATAAGCTACCATCCTCTCGCCCCCTATAAATCCCATCAGATGCCATTAAATACCGTCAAATGTTTAAAGGCATAAAATAATGCCACAGAAAAGATAAAACTTTATCAAGTAGGTAGTGTAAAATGTATTGCATTTCATAAATGCTTCTGCACAAGTCAATCAACATTGCATCCTATTTTTCTATTCTTTTCATTTGAAAGTAATAATAATATAAAAAGAAAAATGAAAACTCATCAAATATCCATGACTCCTTTTTTTTTTTATCATTCAATTTCTATTCTATCTATCTCATTTTGAAAAGGCTCAAGAAATATCTATATGAATATGAGTCTATGAACAATGACTATACCTGAGAAGATTAAGAGGATTGTAAGCCAATGGAATGGAATAAGGATTGTCAAGATGTTTTTGAGAAGATAAAGTAGTATTTACAAAATTCTCCGATACTAGTGCCGCCAGTGTTAGAGAGACCGCTCATTATGTATTTGATAGTGTTAGAAGGATCCATCGAATGTGTTTTAGGTCAGCATGATCAATCGAGTCAGAAAGAGCACTTCATTTATTATTTGAGCAAGAAATTCACTAATTATGAAGCTAGATACTCTTTGTTGGACCGAACCTGTTATGCCTTAGCTTGGCTAGTGATGAATCCATATTTTGACTCATATTTTAGTGTAATTCTAACCCATTTGATAAGGAAAACATGTAAGAAACAGCAGAAAAACTAGAAAAATAGAATGATTGAAGGTTTTCTTTTATTATGTAGTTAACTTAACATTTGTGAAATTTATGCTTGTTTTGGTAGGAATAATCTGAGCAAGGTTCATGGAAATGGAATATCAATGGAAAGGAAGAGGAAGAATGGCAGTTTTGGACTTCAAAACACAAGAATAATGAAATGCAGGCTGGGCGTGATCACTATTGTCAATGAAAGTGATCACTCCAGAGCTCAAAGAAGAAATGAAGTCTGGGCGTAACCACTTTTACTAGCAAAAGTGAGTGTTCCAGAGAAGCCTTAGACTCAGCGAGCTCTGCATGGTCACTCTTGTCAGCGAAAGTGAGCATTCCAGAGAAGGCAAAATTTTAGAGTATTCTGCGTAACCACTTTTATCATTGAAAGTGGATGTTCCAGAGAGCCCTCAACTTGACAAGCTGTGCGTGACCACTTTTACTCATAAAAGTGATTTACGCACAACATCTCAACCTCCTGCGTTGCTACTCTTAGCAGTGAAAGTGATAGTTTCAGTTTCAGTTTTCAGAAACCACATGAACGTATGCGTGGCCACTCTTATCAGCAAGAGTGACAACACACAGAATCGGGATTTCTATAAATACATATTGTAAGCTCAGAATTCGGGGTCTTTTGTTCATTTTCTATTTTTTCTGTTAGATTCCCGTTGGGAGAGAGTGAGAGAGAGGAGTGAGGTCGAACCTCGAAGCTTCAAGAAGAGGGATTGGATTGGAGCTCGTGGCTATGACTTTTCTAAGTTTTTTCTCTTCTTCTCCTTCTTTTTCTTTCTCTATCACAATGTCTGTGTAATTCTCCATAGTTAGGAGTTTATGGAACTCGAATTGATGTATTGATTTAATTCTTGCTTCTAAATTTTGAGTTTTTGGATTAATTGAGTTGTTAATTCTGCACTTTATGTGATCTTGGGAATTCATTTGATTAATCAAAGAGGAACATTTGCCAATGGGAATTGGATTTGATTCTCTAATCTGAATTAACAACCAAAATTAGGGGTTCTTAGGGATAAGTACACTTAATTCTGCAATCCTACGGTTCTAAGTCTTAATGCAACATGAAATTGAACTTCACCTAAGGGATTAGTGGATTGTTAGGGTCAATGAGTTAAGGGATTAACCTTTAACTAGTTATATGTGAAACTGATTGTCAATTAACCAATTGCTTGAATATTCAGAAGTATAATTGAATTAATATTGACATTCTTGTGAAGTAAATTCCTAACTATTTTTCATTCCTATCTCATTTCATCACATCTTTCATATTCTATTTTTACTGCAAGTTTAATTCTTTGTATTGTTCTAGTTCATTGTTTTCCTATGTTACATACTGTCCAAATTCGTATGGCTCAAATAGTTATTGCTCTGTGAAGTGGTAATTGAATTCCTAATTTCCTGTGGATACGATACTTAGATCATAATTTTACTCATTACTTGCTACAATTCCTAGTGCACTTGCTAGTGTTTAGAGAATTCCAACAACAAGTTTTTTTGGCGCCGTTGTCGGGGAAGTTGAGTTTCAATATCATTAGTAACAGAAAAATTACTAGATTGAGTTTTTGTTTTCTTAATTTTTCTCTGTAGTTAGTATTACATTCAAGTACTCTATTCTGATTTTTAAAAATAAGTGTAGGATACAGTAGATAATTTCTGCATAATTCTACAGTTGCTAGACTTGAATTTTGTATGCTTTTGCTGATATTTTTCTGCATAATCTTTGTGAGTGTATATCTTACTATTGAATTTTAGTTTAACTTGTTAATTTTGATTTGTATATGCGAGGGAAAAACAAAAATAAAGCCACTTTGGTATTTGATCTAGACATAAACCAAACTCTAAGGAGGTTAAGAAGTGAAGCAAGATTTAAGCAAATTCAAAGAGAGGAACACAAAAGTTCTACACCTCCACCTCAACCTAGTCAGATTCCAACACTAGGGGATTATGCAGTTTCTAATATCCAGGGATTCAGTTCTTCTATTCTAAGACCTACAATTCAGGCCAACCACTTTGAGATAAAACCTGCACTTCTAAATATGGTACAACAAGACCAATTTGCTGGACACCATTCAGAAGATCCAAACTGCAAATCTCTAATTTCTTGCAACTTTTTGACTCAATCAGAATCAATGGGGGAAGTGAGGATGCAATCAGAATTAGATTATTCCCATTCTCATTGAGGGGTAAAGCCAAGTGCTGGCTTCAAGCCTAGCCACAAGGGAGTATATCAACATGGACTGATTTGGTGAACAAGTTCTTAATCAAGTATTTTTCTCCTTCAAAAGTTGCAAAAATCAGAGGGGAGATTACATTTTTTGTTCAGCAAGATGGAGAGCCTTTGTCTGAGGCATGGAAAGATACAAGGAGTTATTGAGGAAGTGTCCCCATCACTGCATACCTGAATGGATGCAGCGTAAAACATTTTACAATGGAATGACTGCAACAACAAAAACAATGATACATACAGCAGCTGGTGGTTCATTGAGTTCAAAGACTTTGGAAGAAGCTCAGCAAATCATATAAATGATGGCATCTTCGATGTATCAAAATATGAATGAAAGACAAGTTTCAAGGAGAGGAGGATATGATGTAAAATCCATAAAAGCCATGTTTGCTCAAAATCAACTTCAGAATCAACAATTTTCTGAACAGCTTGCTGCCTTGACTCAACAAATAAGTAACATGCAGACTGGTGTGGTTCAAAATTCACAACTGAGTTGTGATTTCTGTGGTGGCAACCATGTGAATGGAGCTTGTGATCCCACAGTTATAGAAAAACCTGATCAAGTCAACTATATGGGCAATTATGAAAAGACCACAACAACCATATCCACCTAGTTTCCAGTTAAATAACAATAAAGGACAACAATTTTCTAAGTGGAATCCACAAAATTCTACTGCAAGAGGAAATACAGCTACTGTACCTTTCCAAAGTGTAGCTCCTCAAGTTCAGCAACAATATTTTCAAGGAAGTTCTTCTGCATAATTTCAGAAAAACCAAGGGTATTTAAATTCAAGACCCTTGAGTGAAAAAGTGAATGGAATTGAAGAGACACTGCTGCAGTTTATGAAGGTGACAGAAACTAATTTCAAAAATTAAGAAAGTTCTATAAAGAAGCTTGAAACACAAATTGGGCAGTTGGATGAGAAACTTGCAAATAGAGATGAAGGAAGGTTCCCTAGTAGCATAATAGTGAATCCAAAGGAGCAATGCCAAGCTATAACCACTAGAAGTGGAGCAGTAGTTTCCAGCCCAAGAAAGAAAGATGAAGCCACCAATTCGAAGGAAGAAAGTGAGCTGAAACAAGAAGATTTTGAAAGTGGGAAATATACTATGTTAAAGAGAGGAGAAGATGAAGAAAATTGCAAAAACAAGCAAGAAAAAAGGGGCAAGAAGCAGAGATTTAAGCAGGCCTGCAAACCTATTAATGAAGAGCAGTATAAGAGATTATCTTTTCCAAAAAGAGTACAAGATCCTAGACAAGAAAAGCAGTTTGAAAGGTTCATTGATGTGTTCAAGAAGCTTCAAATTAATATACCATTTGCAGAGGCATTAGAACAAATGCCTTCATATGCAAAGTTTATGAAAGAGCTATTGTCTAAAAAGAGGAAGCTGGACATGGAAAAATTGGTACCACTCACTGAAGAGTGCAGTGCCATTTTGCAGAGAAAACTGCCTCAAAAGTTGAAGGATCCAGGGTCATTTAGCATACCGTGCTCTATTGGAAACTGCACAATAGGAAAAGCTCTTTGTGACTTGGGAGCAAGCATAAATTTAATGCCTTTAGCCATTATGAAGAAGCTGGGAATTGAAGAGGTAAACCCAACAGGGATAACACTTCAACTTGCAGACAGATCTTATACATATCCCTATAGAGTAGTGGAAGACATTTTAGTCAAGGTAGACAAGTTTATATTCCCTGCATATTTTGTTATACTTGATATGGAGGTAGATGCGGATATCCCTCTCATATTAGGAAGGCCATTCTTAGCCACAGGGAGAGCTTTGAAAGATGAGCAGTACAAGAGGAGAAAGTCATTTTTAATGTATTTGAAGCCATCAAACATCCAAGTGATGATATGATCTGCATGAAGATTGATGTAATAGATGCTGTGATACCAGATTCCTTGGAGAAATTTGATGAAAGTGCAGTTTTGGAAAACACATTTTGCTGCAGGAAGTGAAATACTGCATTCTGCAATTAGATTCCCTTCCCTGTGGAGACGATACTTGGATCTTAATTTTAGGTGTACTTGCAGGTTAAGACAATACATGTTGAGTCACATGACTTAGTTAGTGTCAAAAATGAATCCAATTAAATTCATCTTTGAGAAATCAGCCCTTATTGGAAGGATTGCTCGTTAGTAGGTCCTATTGTCAGAATATGATAGTGTATGTTACTCTAAAAGCAATCAGGGTAGCGCTCTCACAGATTTTCAAGCTTATCAACTGATGAATAATTATCAGTCAATACAGTACGAATTTCTTGATGAAAATATAAAGGCGTTGTTTAATGAGAAAGAATCTTCAACAAAAGATAAATGGACCATGATGTTGATGGTGCTTCTAATGCACTTGGATACATAATTTGTGTTATACTGATTTCTCCAGAGAAGCAATATATCACAATCACAGCTAGATTACCATTTGATTGTACGAATAATGTAGCTAAATATAAAGCATGTGCTATGGGAATTCAACCAGTTATAGAGTCAAAGATTAAAATCCTCGAGGTGTATGATGACTCAGCTTTGGTCGTCCACCAGCTGAAAGGTGAATGTGAGACTTGAGATGCAAAATTGATCCCTTATCAAGCCTATATCAAAGAATTGGTGGAGTATTTTGATGAAATTACTTTCCAGTACATTCCTCATGAAGAGAATCAATTGGTTGATGCTTTATCCACTTTGTCATCAATGTTTGTAGTAAGTTAGAAAGAAGACATGCCACTTATAAAGATGTAACAACTTGGTCATCCTGCCTATTGTCAAATAATTGAAGAAGAATCAGATGATAAACCTTAGTATCATGACATTAAGAGTTACCTAAAACACCAAGAATACCTATTAAATGTTGCTGATAATGACAAAAGAACACTGAGGAGATTAACAATGAGTTTCTTCATAAATAGAGATGTACTCTATAAAAGGAATAATGATATGGTTTTGTTCAGATGTGTGGATGCTTTAAAAGTGCGAAAAATCATAAAAGAGATTCATGAAGGTTCATTTAGGACTCATGCCAATGGACATGCCATGGCAAAGAAGATTCTAAGGGTTAGATATTATTGGTTGACAATGGAGGCGAATTGCTTTCATTATGCGAAGACATGTCATAAATGTCAAACATATGCTGACAATATTAATATTCCCTCAACAACTCTAAATGTCTTATAATCGCCCTGACCTTTCTCAATGTGGGGAATTGACGTTATTGGACCCATTGAACCTAAGGCCTCTCTAATGGTCATCGCTTCATTCTAGCTGCTATTGACTATTTAATAAAATGGGTTGAGGCTGCCTCATATGCTAGTGTGACTCAAAATGTGGTGGTGAGATTCATCAAAAAGGATTCGATAGGTCGATATGGCCTCCTAAGCAAGTTAATAACAGACAATGACACTAATTTGAATAATAAAATGATGAAAGAATTATGTGATAATTCAAAGATTCAACATCATAATTCCTTCCCTTATCGCCCAAAGATGAATGGAGCGGACGAAGCAGCCAATAAAAATATTAAGAAGATCATTCAAAAAATGGTGATGACATACAAGGATTGGCATAAAATGCTGCCATTTGCCTTACATGGATATCAAGCTTTGATTCATACCTTAACTAGGGCAATTCCAAACTCTTTGGTATATGGAATGGAAGCAGTACTTCCTATTAAGGTTGAAATTCCCTCTTTAAGAGTAATGATGGAGACCAAATTGGAGGAGGTAGAATGAGTTCAATCTCGTTTTGATCAATTGAATCTCATTGAAGGAAAACGGTTGAATGGGTTATGTCACGGTCAACTATACCAAAGAAGGATGAAAAAGGCTTTTGATAAAAAGGTTCATACAAGAGAATTTAGTGAGAGAGATATAGTGCTCAAAAAGATTTTGCCAACACATAAAGATTATCGTGGCAAGTGGTCTCCAAATTATGAAGGACCCTACGTGGTGAAAAAGGCTTTCTTAGGAGGAGCTTTAATCCTCATAAACATGGATGGACAAAATCATCCAAACCCCATCAATTCTAATGCTGTCAAAAAATACTATGCTTAAAAGTAATTTAAAAAAGAAAAAGAAAACAACTTGCTAGGTTGAAAACCCAAAAAAATGACCTAGGCAAAAATTAGAGCGATTAGTGAGTTGAAAACTCAAAAGAGCGTCTCAAACAAAAATTAAGGTTAAATAAATTTTACTGAACTGAAAACCTAAAAGTGCGGTTCAAAAGGTACATTAGATTTCAGTTGCAAGAAAGCGCTTCAAATTAAATATGATGAACTAGAACACTAAAACTAGGGCAATTTTGAGAGGTTCAAGTTGAATCAAATGTGAGATGAATTCAAAATATCATACTGGGGCAATTTTATTTGCCAGTTTTACTAATGGATGATTGATTTACATGAGAGACTAGCACTGTTCATCTAGAAGACGTCACTTAATCGGCATAATACTTCACTATTTTTATGGTCATTCTAATCCTTTATTTGATGTATTTATTTATTTATTTATTTCGTTACTCATGTCATAAGCCTTCTTTGTAAGATCACCGTTTCTTTATTATAGAGATCCTGTTTTTTGAAAAAATTTGTCCTGGCTTTTGTCACCTCTCGTTCAATTTTTACACCACTTTCTTAATTTGTTTACTTAAACTCTTTAATAGCATTAATCAATGATTTTATTGTCATTCCAGTAATTATATACTAAAGGAAGCATATAAATTGTTAAAAGAGTAACAAAAAAATACAATTACAATAATAGGCTCTAAAAATTCATACAATGAGTTGATGAATTTCCTAATAAGTTTAGCGTGATAGAAGAGGTTAACTCCTCATGACAATTCAAAAATAAATGGCAATCCAATTTGATTAATGCTTCACTCAACTCAAACTTCATAAAAGAATTGATCCTGATCAAAAAGCCTACTCGTTCATGAACCTTGAGAAGCATGTTATAATAAGGTTGAAAAGTAGAATCCTCGAAAAAAAAAAGGTTTGTTTTGATTTAATGTCTCATCATAGCATTTGACTTCATCATGCAATAACTTCATTCCAAGTGTTAACATTCATCCAATTTGTGCAATCATATCATTACATTAGCATGTATGTGTTTTTATCTATTGTCACCTTTTGAAGTTTAATTTAAATTCATTATTTGCCTTACAACCTTTATTTTTAGTCCATGTCTAAGATTTGACTGAGTATTTTACCTTTCATCAAAATTTAGAAACCAGTTGATCTCTTTACTTTCCTGTCTCACTCTTACTGTTAAGGTGTCTAGAGGCTAACTGACCTTTTTTATTTTTTCTGTTAGACTCAAAACCTGATTGGTTTTCTTTATCTTTTTTGTGAAAATCTCTTTACCTTTCGGTCAAAGCCCAGAATCTGACTAGTACATTTCACTTTTTTGTCAAAGTCCAGAACCTGACTGTCACCTTTCTGTCAGGCTAGAGACTTATTATTGAGTAATCTATAATATTTTATACTTGTTCAATGTTAATTGAAGGATTATTTGGTATTGGAATAGATTTAGATGGAGTTTGAAATTATTTATATATTTAAAAAAAAAAAAAACTGAACAGTACCGTATGAATAGTGTCGGATGAACAGTAAAACCGCCTATGAACAGTACAAACCGTGTATGAACAGTGCAAACCGCGTATGAACAGTGAAAACCGCGTATGTACAGTGACTGCTGACGTCATCAGTGACATCATCATGACGTCATGGCTGACGTCACATACGCGTACAGTGCGTGTACAGTACGCGTGCACAGTATTTTCCGGCATGAATAGTGCCCTGAACAGTGTTTCCGGCGTGAACAGTAAGGCGGTGAACAGTGTTTCCGGCAGTGAACAGTAAATTTCAAAAATTTTCTATAAAAAGGGGGCTTCACACGAAATTTTCATTTCTTCACCCCTATCCAAGGTTCTCAAAGGTTCTAAGGCCAAAAACTACCATTTCTCTCATACTAAACCTTCCTAAACTTAGATTTCTCGCCAGATCTGAGATCCTACGTTTATTCTGAAGGATTTGAAGTAAGTTTCTTTAAGTTTGAAGTTAGATTTACCATTCGTTTCTCTTCTCCTTCTCTTTCTCATAGAAGTTCATGGTGTTCTTAGGAGAAACTTCGTTCTAAAGCCGAATCTTCGGTGAATCTTGCATTAAAACAAGTAATATTCGGTAGATCTAGTGTGAATCATCTTTCTGAGGTAAGGGGAGTTTACTTTAACCTATGAACTACGTTTTGAACGGTTTAATATGCTATTTCAAGATGTTTTGATATGATTTTGTTAGATATTTTGAATAAAAGCTATTTTCTAAGCTGTAACTGCTGTTAATTGATTTAAAATGCTGAGATTTTGGCTGATCTATTATAAAATTGCTTTAGTTGAGCTGTTAAAATAACTTTGGCGGTATGCATCATGCTGAGATATATATTTTGCATCTTTATAGAGCCGAGTTACATGTTTAGGTGGGTAGACATGTAACGGTAAGTTCATGCTGAGCTACTGTGCTGTGCTGTCTGGATCCAGATACCGGAATGGGTCGCTCCCGAACCGGCTCGGTTCCTTCTGGATTACTTAGGCTGTGACACCAGTTGGAAACCGTTTTCATGCTGAGCATTAGATGGGCTGGAAATGCATGGGATTATTGCTGTGAGAAATATTTTGCTCTATATATATGATTTTATTTTAAGTTTAGTAAGCTCACCCTTGCATTTCTTTCTATGTCGTTGTGTGCGTGTGTACTGCGATGATCGTACGGTGGTACGTAAGCAGATGTAGCAGGTGTTGCATCCACTTCACAGGCTGAGGGGCCAGTGAAGAAATGATTGAAGTTGGGGTCGAGTAATAGTGCATCAAAGTCCT